GCGGGGCGGCCGGCGGGCGGGAGCGGCCCCCGGCGCGCAGGAAGCGGCGCCTCCCGCCGCGGCTAGTGCCACGTCTCCCTCTCGGTGGGGCCGGGGCCGTGCGGGCGGGCCTGGCCTCCTGGCCCGCTCACCGGAGGGGCCGGTCGGCAGGACGTTGGGGGCTGCTGGAGAGCTTCCCCCGACCGGGAACGACCGGCTCCGCCATCCCCTCAGCCGGATCCCGGCGGCCCAGGGGGGAGGCGCTCCGGCCTGGGGGCGCGACTGGGCGAATTATGGAGAAGTGGTGTTGGTAGGCTCCTGGCAGAGGAGGAAGAATGGCCGGGGCATGAGCTACAGGACCCGGGGGTCGTAGCCGCTTCGTGTCTGCCGCTTGCCACCGAGATCCTTTGTCTGACAATTGCGGCTTCGTTCGTAGGGTGGTAGCCGGGTGGCAAGAACCAGCACTGCACCAAACATCCTGGTCGCCGAGTGAGAAACCGGAATTAACGTGTCCTGGTATAGCTAAGTGGTTCTTTATTGTAGCACAGAAATTCACGAAGGTGGGAAAAACAGGAGGGACCTGACTAAATTGCAACTGCAAAGTCTGTAGTGAAATATAAGAAAAAATGCAAAGTAACTTTAGTACTGATGTATCATGTACAGGTAGAGAACAGACAATGGTAGAAGTATCTCCATCATGCTTCATTATTGGTAGAGTTGTTTTGGTGGTGGTATTTCAGTTGCTCAGTCAGTGCTTCAGATTGAACTGGACAGGCATGGAAATGTTATTTAGCCCCAGCAGTGTGTCCTTCCATACAGAACTTTAAGTTGTCTTTACCAAAAGCTGTAGTATGGACTCAGATTACTGGGACTCTTATTCAAGAGTCTTGAGTGAAAGCAGCAATGCAGATATGGAAACAGTTGCATCTATCATTTTTCTCTGAATCTCTCAAAAAGTGCTATAAAATCCTTAACATTGATTTCAGCAGTTGCTGTAGTGAGAACACAGTGCCACTTGGGCACAGGCTCTCTTGGCAATGCGCACACCATCTTGGATGTGCTTGGTTTTGACTTTGATGTTGCAATTGACTCTGCAATTTGACTTTGACTCTGCAATTGTATGAGAATTATTGTATGCATAGCCTGTTTATTCAAGTATGGATAGTTTTTTAATAGCTCAGAAGATGCAAATATTTTTCTCAGTGATTCAGATATTAAAAACTTTATGTTCATGTGAGTTTGTTCTGATATCTTTCTTTTAAGCATAATGTTTTTCTTGGTAGTGTGACCAGAAATGAAATTTATACCAGAGAAAGTCCTGTATATGAGATAATTAAGATGAGAAACTAAAGCGACACCAGAAATTTGTTACTGAAGAATTGGGCTTACTGGTATTGAGAAGAATTTTACTTAATTCTCTTCATTACAAAGATTAAGAGTTGGGATTTGCTGAATAGTTATTAGTTGGCCCTCTTGTTTATATTACAAGTCACTAAACTCAGGTTCTTTATATTAAGCCTAGATTTTGGGCTAGAACAAAACAATATCTTGGCAAGTATCTCTTTGGTAGAGAGGAGTAGCAGAGAATATAAAGAGGAATGCCTCCAGTCAAAGCACTCAGTTCATGCCTTGGAAGAACAAACACGTATCAAGGAGGCCTATAGGGAAAATTATGTATTGAGTGTGAAAAACACAGCGCTTTTGCTCTCCATGTGAGAGATGCAGAAACAGGAGGTTTGTAAAGGGGATGTTCTGTATCATCTTGGAGCATGTCTTTCTTCCACTGTGTCCCGTCCTTGGGTACAGCCAGTGCTTAATGTCACAGGTGTTAGAAGCATGATCTTGTATGCTGTTCTCTCTAGTGCCCTTGATGATGCCAGTGAGTGTAAGACAGCAAGCCTAACAGGCTGCCATGATTATTCAGGTGATTCTTCCCTTGGCTTCCACAGACTAAGGGTTTTCTTTTTAATTGTGATTCTGAAAACTGCACCTTTATCCATTTAAATTGAAGCAGAGAGCTGTGAGTTCTTTGACTCGGTTATTCTTATTTCAAAATCGAATGCATGATTTCAGCCCCCCAAATTTTTGTTGGCAAGGTTCTAAAAGTCTTCAATTTTAACTTTTTTTTTTCTTTTAATTCTTTATTCTTACATTCTCCTTAGTTTTTGTTTGCCAAGTAAGTTGTTTTCTGAACTCACGTAGCTTAGTACCTGGCTTTTTGTTCTTTGTTTCCAAGAAATGAGTTGCCATACATACTTGTTCTTAGACAACCAAAGGATTAGGAAAATGGAACTTTTGGGACAATTGTAATAACAAATGCTCATCAGTACCCCTGTATCAAATGTCTTTTCAAATATGAAGCAATTTTTGTGTTTGGATGCATATACTTCCTTGCAGACTTACAGAACCTGTTTGTGATTAGTAATTTAGTAATGTGTGGCACCTGTTGTGTGTGGTGTTAGGTCCAATTTACATACAGCTTCCAAACTGATGCAGGTTGTACTGACTGGGTAACTCATGAACTAAGTTAAGTTGCTTTGAAGTCTATAGGGTAAAACAGTGTGCTAAACTTTTCCTGGGTTTGTCTATCAAGATTGTGGTTGTGCACTGGTCATTGAAATAAACCTTTTAAGAAGTGGTCTTTCAGCCCCTTCTTCATTCAGCCTCTAGATCAAAGGGGAGTGTGTGTCTTCTAAGGCAGTGCCTTGTAGCTGGTAAGGCAAAGATTAGAGGATTGATAAAGTTTACAGGCAGTGGCTTGTCATCGATCTAATATCACTATAATTTTTGAACTGGAATTTGCTTGATTCTATTCAGCTGGGAGCACAGATGGAGCAAGTATTTGTTTGCTTTAATTTCTGTGTGGACATATTCCAGTCAAACTAGAAGAGTAATGGTGATCACCAGCAAAAGGAGCAAATAACTGCTGTCTTTACACTTAGCAAAATGAAAAAGCAGCCATCCATGGCAAATTAGCACTCTTGTCCATACTTTTATTTTTTAAAGTCGTTGATAGAGCTCTATGCTCTCAGGAGTACTATTGTTCCTTTGATTTAGTGTAGTTTCACCACAGTATATTAACCTTGGATGTGTGTGATTCCAGCAGAGATCGGGATTCTGGGAACCTTGCTTTTTGCTGTGAGTTACTTACCCCTCTCTCATCATAGTCTGTTATAGTGAGAAGCACTAGGTGCATCGTGGATAAATTGTATAGCTGTTTATAATTTAGGCTAAAACACTGGCTGAAGGTTTGCGATTGGGAATGTGGAGACTGAGCAGAATGCAGGTCTAGTGCTTTGGGAATGCCATCGGGGACTGGCTCCTCTGCTTAGGTAAAATATAAAAAGTGAAGTAGACATAAAAGATTGCTATTTAGGAAAGGTATGTAGTAGTCAAAAGTACTTAAGTATATTGTTTGCTGTCTTTTATTTCAGGCAAAAGAGAATATGATCTTAGAATTCCCTGTGTACTGAAACTCCATTTTTCTGGCCTGTTCTACTTGTAGAAAGTGTCATGTTGCTGCAGTGTGAATGAACATCAAAGACTAATTCTCATCTGAAGATATGTTAGTTCTGAAATAAGATGCTTGAGAGGAAAATGGGTATTCTGAAGTAGACTTCACAGTCTTGGAATGTTTGCCATAATTAAAATTATAAGTGGAAGACTTCAGTCTTTACAGGCCTAAAAGATTTTGTCATGGGCATACATTTGTCAACTTTTTATGAAACTTTATTTGGATTGATTCATTGGGCTTTTGATTCATTAATGCAGACATTAAAGAATCACAGGATGGTAGGGGTTGGAAGGGAACCTTCAGAGATCATCTAGTCCAATGCCCCTGCCAGAGCAGGGTCACCCAGAGCAGGTTACACAGTATGGTGTGCAGGTGGGTTTTGAATAGCTCCAGAGAAGGAGACCACACAACCTCTCTGGGCAGCCTGTTCCAGTGCTCTGCACCCTCAAAGTAAAGAAGGTTTTCCTCATGTTTAGATGGACTTTCCTTTGTTCTAGTTTGTGCACATTGCCCATTGTCCTGTCGCTGGGCACCACTGAAAAGATCAGTTTTCCCTGTGTGTGAAAACTCTTCCAAAGTATCAAGCTTGAAAATGGATTTGAGAATATTGCTTTCATAAGTGCTTAGTGCCATCACTATGGTGGTATTGGTAGCCTTCAGAACAGTTTTAGTGTCACTGCACTAGTTAACCTATATATGCACTGCGTATAATAGGTAGTCAAAAGCTTATCTTTAAAAAGCTTTATCTTTAAACCCAATTTTGTTTTTTAACTAGATGTGAAATACTACTTTTACAAACTTATGTGGGGTCAGTTTTACATGCAACTTGTGTGTATACACTTCCCTAGCTGAATTTGGTCATATAGTCAAACTATAAATCAAAATATAAGAACAAATACCTGCCACTGGAATTATGTTGGTGAGAGATGCAGCTCTGGGTATATCTGCTCCAGGGGCTTTGGATTGTGTCAGTGAAACCACTCTGCACTACCACCAAAATCATATGCTAGGAGGATTTTTTGCCAAGTGCCTTTCCAAAGTTGACAAGAGCAGTTTTGTCATCATACTTGTATTGGTGATCTGGTGTTGGTTTCTCCTTGGTGCTAGCAAAACCATGTCTGAAAGCTTAGAACCATGGTGTATTCTGCTAATGTGTAAATGTTTAAATTCTGGTTTTTTTCATACTCAACATTTAGCATATGGAACATAACATATTTTTTTTCCCTGTTCTTTTCCAGTTTAGGTCTAATATCAGATTCCTTTCATATGTTTTTTGACTGTACTGCTCTATTGGCTGGATTAGCAGCTTCAGTTATTTCAAAATGGAGGTCAAACGATGCCTTCTCATATGGGTAAGAAACTTCAGGCTGTTGCCTTACTGTATTTTACTAAATGTCTAGGTGGTAATTTTTCACTGTATGAACAAAACCTTTTCTTGCAGAACATGGAAAAGCTATGTTGAAAGTGTGGGTTTTTAAGGTGAGTTATGAAAACCTTTAAGTTAATGTTCCCCCCAAAATAGTAAAACCGTGAAGGCATTGCTTTTGGGGAGCAGGTTTATTACTTCTGAGATCTCTGTGATCTCTGTGATCATCGTGGAAAAAAGTTTCATATTGTCATGTTTTCGTGGCACCAGTGAAGTGAGAGCAGCCGCATCGTGGGTTTGTCCTTGCAGTGCAGCGAGGTGGGTTGCAGGGAGTCTCAGGCTGCTGGTCTGAGAAGCCCTGTGCCGCCTTTGCAGAAAGTTAACAACTGAAGGGAGCTAAGTCACAGTGATGCTGCACCTGAGATTATAAGCCATGCTTCTTACGACCAGCAGGATTCAGCAGCTGTGGCTACCGTTAGCCCAGATCCTGAAGGCTGAAGTATGTCACTGTGTACCGCCTTTCACGGATACAGCTGCTTCTGTTTCAAGGGCACTTGGTTCCACTGCACATTGCAGTTGTGCCCTGTAAAATAATGCTGGTGATACAATATTATTAATTGGTAATACTGATTAATTAACAGCAAATGAGCTGTAACGCGGGTTGCTCCATTCCCCATAGCATTACTGACCTGAATGTCAGCGTTTAGTTTCAGCTGTCTTGCCTAAGCATGGATCATGTAGTTTGAAACCTAAAGCACTGTTTAATTAAGGTGGAAACTCCAGTGTGCCTAGAAATCAACTTAGGAGGAATTGATTGTGTGACGAACTAATTGCAATGAAAGCAGGTTCTGTATTAATTACTGCTCTACATTTAAACAGCTGGTGTTCCATTTCTTAGAGAACAGCCACAGTTTATTAAGTCTGATGTTTGCTATATTGGAATTACATGTTATTCTGACCTGGCTGGTTTTTCTTTAAAAACTGTAGTAGCTGAAATAATTAATTTCTACTTAAAACTTTTACTGAAAATCCCCCTGTTAGAGGGGAAGCAAATTCATGTATGGCTGTTTGACATCAAACAGAACTTTGCATCAGCAGACTTTGATTACATCTCATGTGCTTATCTTGGCTTCCAAATATATGTTTATACCATAACTTTCAGTAGAGATGATCTTAAATGGGAAGATTTTGACATATTGAAAGTTTTATTTCATATAGAACAGGTAATGGCTGATCTAGATCAGGTAATTGCTGTCAAAATACAATGCAGTGATTTTCATATACTTAGCTGTAGTTTATATACTGCATCTTCCATTTGGCAAATCCCTGTGGAATACAACTGTTTGAGAACTAGAAGATTGTACTCCAGTCTCTAAGTTCCAGTTTTAATTTTCAACATTTAAAGGGAGGTGGTAATATCTGCTATTGCTTTTTTGTTTCTTGCAGGTATGTTCGGGCAGAAGTACTTGCTGGTTTTGTAAACGGTTTATTCCTCATCTTTACAGCATTCTTTATTTTTTCTGAAGGTGTTGAGGTATGTTATGAAGTCAGTTGCACTATCAATTGTTGCATTTCTATTTGTAGAGCATATTTAATATTGATAAAATTATTGAATTTGATTATGTTCATAATTGGTTAAAAATCTGTGATTTGAATTGAGGATAGGGCCATCTGAAATTGCTGTTTTGTGACACAGAAACCCAGATTTTTCAGTGTATTGGTACTAGCTTCTTAAACTGTTTATTTTGATTGTGTATGAAGATTCTGTGAGATTTACTCTGTCCTTTTTATTAGCCAGTTAAGTACGTCATAGGTAGATCTTTGCTTCTCATTGTTAGAGGACAAATGGGGCCAAGAGAGAAAGCCAAAACTAGTCATTCAGAGAAGATAAGTTGTAATAAGAAATGGAAATGCATTCTGTGAAGAAGTTGGACTAACTCATTAAAGAAAGAGCATTATCTTCCAAGTCTTGAAGTCTGATATAAATGGCAAGTAGTAATAGCTTTAACATTTACAAGGGCACTTTTCTTGAATTTTTTTCAAGATGGTTCAGGTGATAATGTCAAGATTAAAATTTAGATGTCAAGGGTGTCTGCACTGAAGTGAGGTAGGATTAACAGAAAAATTGATAACTGATTCTGATCAGCTTGCATTAATGCTTTTACTTTATGATATCAGATGCACTATGAATTTCTTTAGACTTCTAGTTCAGAATATGTTCCAGTGGGGTTTTTTTAATTAATACAAAACTGAGAAGAGCTTTCAGGAACCTATCCTCCATGAAGATAAGCCTGTAAATACTTCAAAATAAGTAAAAACTGGGCTGAAATTGCCTAAAAGCTTGGGAAAACTTCACTCCAAATCTCGAAACAGCAAGAAAAATTAGTAGGAAAAAGAAAAACTCCTACTGGAAGGGTTAAGGGTAATGATGCAACATTATTCTTTTCCTGCTGGTCTTAACTCCTGCGCTGAGTATTCCCTTTGCTTGTGACAGTGACTCCATTTCTCTCTGTCACTTCAAAGTTTAACATCTGCTAAAAGTTTCACTGTCTTGCTATTGCCTGTACCTTTCATCCCTGTGGACAGAAGGTGGATGTTTCTATCCCCCACCAATAGTCATTTACACTCTTCAGATGCAAATTGTGTTAGGCCTGTAAGGTCTCATTGGGAAAAAAAAAAAAAACTTGCTAAAAAACTAGAGTAAAAAATGGTGAAAAAAAACCAATCTCGATTTTAGAAGTTTTAAAAAATGCCACAATTTGTTCTTAGTCTTCATTTCATTCCCTGATTTCCCCACCCTTCTAAGGAGAAGTGGCATTCCAGACTCTTGGAAGCTGTTTGGCTGACCTGGGCAATCCACATACTGCAACAAATGTGAATGTTTTCATATAATGTTAAGCCACATCCCACAGCATAATGAAATCTTATCATAACAGTTAGCTAGACTATCAGAATATTCTACTATACTTTCATAGCTTTAATAATAAAACTTCAGAGAGTAAGAATTAGTCTATGTACTATCCCAAAACCCGAAAGTCCTGAGCAATTTTTTATTAGGTCTTTATATATGCCTGTTTGTATGAGAATGCTCCTGTACCTAAGCAGTTTTTTTCAGTGCCTTTTAATAATGTAAAGAGATTGTAAAACTCTATATTTTTTTCTTGGTTTTTGTTGATTTTTTTAGAGAGCACTTGAGCCTCCTGATGTGCATCATGAGAGACTTCTTCCTGTTTCTATACTAGGATTCATTGTAAATCTTATAGGAATATTTGTTTTTCAACATGGAGGTCATGGGCATTCACATGGCTCTGGTAGGATGTCTATAATTTTCAGTACTGTTTCCTTTCTTGGAACCCTGTGTTCTAGGACCTTATAATCCTCCAATGAGAACGTCAGTATTAAATTTTAATGTCTTTTTAGTGGCAATCCTAGCCAAATGTGTATGTGACTTGCTGCAATATTGACTTTTATGTTTTATCACTATCTCTAGTATGTCAGTACCATACTTCTCATGTTAATATCCTTTAGCTGGAAGACCCAGAACTCCAGAATCTGCTTTCTGGTGCATGCACTCTTCTGCACCTTATTGGAAAAGACTTGCAGAGGGTCTTTTGGACAAAATTAAGCTGATGTTAAGTGAGGTCTTGGCTGGAAAATTAACAAAGCAGTATCTGAAGCAAATTTTAAGTATGGGATGGTTCAGCTTCAGGTGCATCTCAACTTAGTGTCTTTTGAATTTAAATGAAGAATTTGTTTATATGGTAAACATTTAGTTGTTTGAGGTTTTTTTTTCTGCAAAGCTAGTTGGTATCTCTTTCAGCTTAACATGTAAACTCATATAGAATGGTGGAAGAAAATAGTTTTTGCTCTTTAGGCAGCAATTCAAGCTTGAATTTTATGTGAACAATAGTCAATTTCTGGTTTCTTTTAAAAGTGCTTTTTAATAGCTTTTATCTAATTAACTGTACATTTTTCAAGTTTTACTAAAAGTGTAGCACAACTTGTCTCAGAAGTGGGAATGTATAAAAGCACTTCTTGACTTCTCAAATCAGGTATATATTTTATACAGCTGCACAGTGTCGATTTAGATGACAAACAGCTTGGGTTAATTTTCTTAACTTATTTAGAGCCATACCTTAAGATGACCTAAAAGATGAATAGGTTTCAAGTCACTTAGAAAGAAATGTATGCATACTTTTATTCAATACTCTGATGGTGATATTTGTTTATAGGGCATGAACACAGCCATTCTCTATTTAATGGTGGTCTCAGCCACGGACACAGTCATGGAGGTCATGGTCACAGCCATGAACATAAACATGGCCATGGACACGGTCATGATCATGGCCATGGCCATAGCCATGGGCACTCTCATGGTCAGGATTATTGTCATGGTAAGTACTTAGTTCATGTCAGACGACCTTGACTCAATTTAAATTTGCTGTTAATGATTTACTGAAGGGAAAAAAAAAGGGGGGCTGGCAGCTTGTTGCAAGTCTACATGGAAGTAGTTTCGCTAAATGTGTGATACGCTGTGCCTCCTCCATCTTTTTGTGGCCCATTTTGGTAAATGCTGTTTCACCTACATTTTGTTAGTGTTCACAGTAATTTGTGTGTTGGCAGAAGATAAAACAGATGTATGCAGTAGCAGTATAGTGAAATTAGTTATGAAGTGCTCTGTTTCCATTTTTTATTAAAATCAATAGACAAAGTTGAGCTGCTTTGCTAGTGTTCTCCATTTGAAGAATTTTACAGGTGAAGACATTAGGAAAGGTGAACAAACAATTTTACTTTGGGTATTTAGGAGATGCTATGTCATACTTAGTTTGTGATCTCAAGTATAAGATTTTCTCCATCTTGTGTAGCTGTAATCTGGTTATGAAACAGATATTTGGTATCTTACCTATGCTTAACTCTTTTCTAGAAAGGTAAACCATCTGTGAAGAGACATCCATGCAAAATGTGATCAGTAGCATTCACTAGGGGAGGAGAGACTGATCCTATTTGAAACGATGCAAATTAGTGTAATGCAGGGTTATCAATCCTTCCTGCCTAAGCCAGAAACTAGAATCTGATGTGACTGAAAATGTGCACGTTCAGAGCAGGGAATAGTGTGGTGACTTGCAAGCAGGAGGTGACAAAGAGTATAAAAATACTTGTCTCTTCCTTGCTATTTTTAGTAGAAAATTGGTGCTTGTTTTCCAAGTGTTCTGGAGTTTGGTTGGGAAGCGGGAGTTCCCCCCCTCCTGCCTCTTCCTTGGTCTCCCAATGCTCCACACAACAAATACAGCTGTTTGTTTTGTGCAATTTGATATTCAAATCATCTTTTGCGTAAATTATTATATATCTTCACTAGAAGTCATTTGATATCCTTTAACAAGTTTTTCTTCAAATATCTTTCTGATGTGTTTCACAGAGGCATTAATCTGCTTGAATGACATGATTTTTTAGGCTTGCTTCTACCTTCTCCAAGTCTTGTCCTTGTTGTTTTACATTAAGTATAAATGCATAAGTGAAATATTGCTGGAGCAAGTTTATTTGACTTTACTCTTCTTGCTTGTGTGTACAGCTTGTATTCTTGAGAGGGCCTTATTTTTCTAAATACTAGAAAGGTCTCGTTTCTCAGGTTTTTATTAAAAAACTTTTATATATACATATATAAAATCTATTGTGTAAAATGGTATCTTCTTTTAAAAAATATGTGTTTTAAGACTTTCAAGTGAATTGCTGCATTAAAAAACAATAGCTAGAGTAAAAGTTAGTCATTATGAGCAGCTTGTCTGTTCAAGAAATTTCAGCAGGGAAGACTGTAATAGAGTATACCACTAGAGAGAGCCTTTGTGTAGGTTAATATGCCAATGATTGTCTTCACAGATGACCATTCTCTTGAAGGGATGGCTGGATCCAGCAAACAGATTTTACAAGGTATGATTGTAATAAGTATAGTGGTTTATTAGCTTTATCGTTGTCTGCCTGCCTGTGACTGTTTGTAACCCATCTGTTTTAAAGGGTACCTCTGTGTAAATGCTACATTTTTTTTAGAGGACCTATTTTATGAAGTCCTCTTCCACCTGCTGTATCCTATGCATTGCTAGGGGCTGAGACATTCACTGAAGTCTGAATGTAAGGCAGGGTCAACACAATTTAAAAAGGAGACCCCGAATGCTGGGAATCAGCTTCTGTTACTGATGCTGAAAAATGAAATAACAAAAATCTAGGAGCGTGGTTAAAAGCAGAAACCTAAGGAGCCTAATTGCAGTGTATGCTCTGGAAAGTGAAAACCCCTTTATTATTAAGAGAGAAATCATTTGAGAAATGCAGATTTTTATAATTGTTAAAGGGTACCTGAGCTTAAAACTTGCATTTCATCAAGCTGTTACAGTTGGTTTAGACAAGATGATAATTCAGTCTAAATTCCTTGAAGCGATGAAGTCCATGATCTCCTAAGCATCAGTGTAAATAAATTACTGATAATTTATGACAGTTTTGAGCTTTGATTAATTTTTTTTTTTTGAAGTGTTCAGAAGTTGGAGAAAATTATGTAATGTGAGAGGTAGTAATTATTTGGCATACCCAAATGCACATACTGTTTTCTGGTTTTGGATGATTTTCTGGCTTGTTTGTAGTCTTTGAAAAGGAACATTTTCAGCCTCTGAGAATTTGCAATATACTGTATTATGTCTATGTAAACTCAGAGCTTCAGTAGAACATATTTGGAAGTCAGTTTTTTCATGAAAGGCACGTTGTAATTGAAGCATAGTAAAGTAAAAAGACTCAATTTCATATAATTATATTTTAATTTTTCAGTACTGTAGTGGGTTGCCTCTGGTCAGCACTAAGCACCCAGCACCTGCTTGCTCACTGCTGCAGTGGGACAGGGAAGAGAATTAGAAGAGTAAAAGCGAGAATCGCTCTTGGATTGAGATAAAGACAGTTTAGTAACTGAAGGGGGGAAAAAAAAAAAGGAAAAAAACCCCAAAACAACCAACCAAAAACCCCAACTAACCAAAAAAAAAAACCACCAGTGATGCAGAGACAAACACCACCTCCCACCAGCAGATGAATGCCCAGGAAGTCTCTGAGCAACAGCTATTTTGGAAAGACAACACCCTGGTTGTATTGGTGAGCTCGATGTTATATGGTGTGGAATATCCCTCTGGTCAGTTTGGGTCAGCTGTCCTGGCTACGGACCCTCCCAGCATCTTGCCCACGCGAGCCTACTTGCAGAGTGAAAAACAGAAGGGCTTGATGCTGTGCAAGCACTGTTTGGCAGTAGCTACAACCTTGGTGAGTTATCAACACAATTTTAGTCACAGCACAGCATGAGGGAGGCTGATGAAGAAAACCAAACTCCATCCCAGCCAGACCCAGTACAAATGTAGACTTGGAAAAATCACTAAGGAGCTGATGTGCTGTGTTGTTTTTGTGAGGAGGGATTATCTGACTCAGGAGAATTGTATTCAAAAGCTGTTTTTGAGTGACTGTTCCTGTCATTGCCAGCAGAGAGCTCCAAAGGCTAAATTTGTCTAGCTGCAAAGTGCTTTCTTTGTCTTTTAAGGTAGTGTGTTACTCTTCAAAATAAGAGTGAAGTTGTTAATTTCTGCAGTATTGTTTAATTCTCAAAATTATTTGTCTTGGATTTCTTTGCCAAATAACTTCTACAAGATATTGTCAATAAAACATTAGCAGCTTTCAAAGCTTGACAGAGCTGTTTCTGTTAATGGTCTTTCTGTCTTCTACAGTACTTATTGTCTGTAGGCATCAGGGAACATGAGTTTCTTTGCTGTAGTGTAGGTGGGTATTGAATGAAAAAAAATTAGCTACATCTGTTAATCACTGCTTAACTTGACATCCATGCCATCAAATACCCCTTACAGCTAAGTGCAGGAAAGAATGTAAATTCTTCAAATGCTCTGTATTCTACAAATGTGTTGAAATCTTGTCATCACTTTCTGTGTGTTTGACCAAAATCTGACCACAGTTTAACAAGCATAAATCACGTTATGTGTTTCTTGCAACTCTTTTCCGTAAACTGTCTTTGACGTGCTCTATTAGCTTCAAGAATATCAAGTTGTAACGATATCAATTAATCTCTTACAGGTGTATTTCTACACATTGTTGCAGACACACTTGGAAGTATTGGTGTAATCATATCTGCTATACTGATGCAGAACTATGGTCTAATGATAGCAGATCCTATTTGTTCAATGTTGATAGCACTACTTATAGGTGTAAGGTAAGCATTGCTATCGCTGGTATTTGGTAGTATTTTTGATGCTAGTTACAGCACAAATTACAGCTGAGAAGAAAAGGTTTGTCTGTTATGCTAATGACTTAGGACATTTGCTTTTCTTCCAAGAGTGGTATGTTGCCTCTGCTGTACAGCTGTTCTGGTGTGCTCTTACATGAGCTATGTTTCTTTTCCTTTTCTACAGATACAACTTTTGCTCTTAAATCTGCATATTTTACCTCCATTTGCATAATACTACAAGAATGTCTTTAAGGCTCAAACTGTAGAAAGCTTGCTCTCTGTATTTAGTACATGCTTATATAAACCAATGTACTCCAGTAAATGGAGCAGAATGGCTTCAGGGCAGCAGAGTTAAGCCTGCTGGCACAGGATGTGCCCTTGTCCTTGACAAATCAAGGCTGGCAATTTTTTTTTTTTTTTAATTCCCTGGCGAGAACTGTCTTTTCCTTTGTCTTTGTATTCTGAGACATCCTTATTCCTTTTAAGATCTGATGGAAATGGTTCAAGTAATTCTGGGCTTTCCTGGTTGTTGCTTACCAAGATCACTGTAAATTGTGAAACTGTTTGGATTAGACCGGAGAAGCAAACATTTCATTCAGTGATGATGTTACTGGGGCTTTGCTGGCAGCGGTTTCACTGGTGGCAGAGTGCCACAACTCCAGTTACAGCATAACAACTGAACACCTTTGTCTCTTCAGCAGTGGTGAATGTCATTTGATTTACTGCCAGCTACTTATGCTTATACCGTATATGGCATGTTTATACCGTATGCATGGCAGCATTCACAGAATTATTGATGTGAATCTCCCTATTTATCAAAGTAGGGCAACGTGTTTCAGGCACTAAATGCTCACGGAAATCTGTGTGCTAGAGATTGCTATTAAATTGCCACTTTAATATAAAAATATTTTGACTTAAACCTCCTGTAATTTCATAAAGGACACATTATTACAAACTAATTCTGTTACTGGAATCTCAAAAAATGGGAAAGAAAATGTGCAGGTTACCAAAGGGAAAGAAACTATTGCTAAGGTAATAGCCAAGTAAAACACAGATTTCCTTACACTTAGTATTTTAAGGGTCTGGCTCTGCGTACAACAAAGCACATGTCAAGTACCACATGGTACCATGTGAATGAGAATTTTGTTTTTCTTCCATTTGTACAGAGGTTGGAAGAAGACTACCTTCTGTAACAGAGGTTTTGTAATAAAGCTGTTAATAGGCCTTCCAGCACAGTTAGGGGGAACGTCTGAGGTCCATGTTCTATGCTGAAAATGCTGGAGAAGTTCACTTTTTGATGTCTTTTTACCTGATACCAGACCTCAGCCTATAGCATAATTTTGTTGGTCCACGACGCTCTAAATGATCTCTAGAATGATGATGGTAACTGAGTGCAGTCAGCTGCCTCATAGTCAGTAGAAGCGAGCCTGCATTTCTTGCAGACTGGCACATCCTGGCACAGCAGTGGAGCCAACACTAATTGCAGGATTGGGTTTTTTTCCTTTTTTTTTTTTTTTTTTAAGCAGTCCGATGGACTTAACTACTGATGGCTTTGCTTGAAATGCACTCAAATGAGATCATAAACAAAGTGATGGATATTCTTTGAGAGCTTGCATTCCCTTTTGTGTTGTTTGACTTTGGTAATCTTCAGTTACAGTTCTGGATGTAAGAGCATTGTTTATTTTGCCTTATTCTTCACTATGCTGTGTGTGTGAAGTGCTCTTCTAGAATTAATGCAAAAGATTGTTCAGATTTTCCCATATTTTTTTTCTTTTTTTTTTTTTTTTAAGCAGTCCGATGGACTTAACTACTGATGGCTTTGCTTGAAATGCACTCAAATGAGATCATAAACAAAGTGATGGATATTCTTTGAGAGCTTGCATTCCCTTTTGTGTTGTTTGACTTTGGTAATCTTCAGTTACAGTTCTGGATGTAAGAGCATTGTTTATTTTGCCTTATTCTTCACTATGCTGTGTGTGTGAAGTGCTCTTCTAGAATTAATGCAAAAGATTGTTCAGATTTTCCCATAAGGTGTTTTTGTGTAACAGTAATATGGTTGCCCACATGCTGATTGCTAGGATATATAACAGTTTTGTCCTTAATCTTTTCAAGTCACCTAAATCTAACTTAGAGAAAAAGTAGTACTGAAATCTTGTGAAATATAAAATTTAAGGGGGAAAAACATTGTTTACAAAGACTTTAAACTGATAGTGGCAAAAACTGTGTTTATTTTTTTAAAAATTGTTGTTTGCTGATGGGGTGCCTGTGGGATGGAGGTGGGGAGAAGGGGGACGTTCCATATCTAGTACAGGGATTCCTGGCCACTTCTGTGGACCTACTTGCAACCTTGATAAATAACTTGTAGGGGTTTGTGTGTGCGTGTGTGTAGTTCGCTTTAGATTAAATAATTGTTTGCTATTTCTGAGGAATATTTGTTACTTTTATTTGTGCGGAGTAGCTCACTCATCCCTTTTATTAGTTAAACCAACTTTGATGAGGTGGAGTATCTCTAATTAGTGCAAATTGTCAGCTACTGACACGCGTCTCTGTGTTGCTCCTGTGATCCTTCACTAAGGCTGCTCTGAGGTGACGTACTCTCTGCCTGACTCCTCATGAGTTAGTGCAGAGCATTCTGGCTGCACAGTGAAAATCCGGTGTGAGATTCCTCTGAGGTTGTTTTCACTGGCAAATAAATACACTTCTAAGCTTAGTGGAAGCAGAAATCAAGTAGCTTTTACTGGAGTATAGACAGATAAGATCAGCCACTTCCCTTTAGTAGACTATGACTGTCTACATACATCCCAGTAAAAGCCCGTCTTCAGTAGGATTATATAGAAATGTTGTTAATACCTAATACATCTCATGCTTTAAAATTTGTCTTTTTGGAAGAAGAAAAATAGCCCACATATTACTGTTCTGATATATAGAAGCAAGGGCATCGAGTCAGATACTTTCCACTTTGCAAATTATTATGCTTTTACTTGCTGTAGAAGGTTGTATTTTCTCCCTTTATGTATCTATCTGTTGAGCCTTGACAAGCAGAGGGCTTGGTAGTTTGTGGTTTCTCAGTTGGAGGGCTATATCCTGTAATCTTTCAAAATCTCTGCATCATAAATCTATGGCCAATTCTGAAGGGTGAAGCTGGGGTGAGTGAGGGGTTGTAGCTCTTAAATACTCCTGGGTGCTAGCACTAATTTCTGACGAATGTTCCTTTGATTACTTTCTGTACTATCTCATGCAAATGTCCATTTAATTATAAAGCATAGTTAGGACATACTTAAAATAGATGAGTCTGTTTTATTAGCATCTTGTTTGAAGTCTTTTTTTTTTAAAAAAAAAAAAAGCTTGGCTATGTTGTAGTTGTTTTGGTTGACACTCTTCAAGTTTTTTTCCAAGGTATTTTCCTTGTAATTTAATGTGCCTGAAAATAAACAATTTCTCAAGTCTCTAAATTGCTTTTAATATTTAAAACTGAATCTTCGTTTATTTTTTAGCCTTAGGATTGTAAGCCTTTTTCTGAAATGTTGAAGCAATCTTGGTATTTCAATCAGCTATGTGAAATTAGTCATCAAGCAAAAGCCACAACTCCAGTTAAAAGTAAGAAGTTTGTCCGAAACCACTATTGGAGACACATGTTTCTAGAAAGGCACCGTAAACTAAATATGATACTAGATTGGATAGAGCATGCAGACTGCATATTAAGTGGTCAAAGAAATGAGGTAATTTACTTCATGGCTTACATGTTTCCATGGCTTACATCATTATTTATATAAAGTTTGAGCTGCCTGAACATGATATATTAATATGAGAGCTTTGGGGAAGGACATACCTGCAACTTTTGGGGTATATGCCTGTAATATTTGGGGTATACCTGTGATCCTTGTTTTGAGCAAAGCCTGCAGTCTGATTAAAATTGTCATTGCCTAATAGAAAAAATGTAGTCACGTTAAATTTCTGAAATAGTCTGATAACCTTGGTACTGCAGATGTGGATGGTGGCTGGAAAAAACAATATTGAAATCTGGCTTTACGTTTTCAGATACGGTATTTGAGGAACCATAGCTGGTCTTTAGTCTTAGCAGACTTTGTTTACCTTCCACTAAATCTATCACAAGTATCCCCTATTTTCTATAGTGCTGAGAGCACAAAATTAATTTCCTGCTGTGTTCTGGCTACAATGACTGTGTGAAGGGTTCTTCACCTTGGAGTTCTTTTCAGCCTTGCTCTCCAAGATCGTGAAAATGCCAGAGTCTTGGTAGCTCTGCCTACAAAAACAGCGGCGTGTACAGGATGGGGCTGGAATGGGTATGAGTATTATCTGAATGTGATGCAAGTTGATTAAGGGCCTGATGCTTTCACTCTTCATTGTTAATCAAGCCATGTGTAGTAGTGGCAGCCTGGATTTATCAGATTCATGTCAATGGCTTTTATCTGTCTGAACACTTTCTTCTTCCTCTGTAACAGTGTATGTGAAAGCGTGATGTGCTGCTAACTCATTTTGCACACATTAGCTACTTCTGCTGTTAGGGCTTTTGTAGGGGATATGTTTATGTCCTGAGTCTTGCTGTGGGTTAGAGCCTCTTTCAGATCCTATTGTCTTGTAAAAGAGTGGTATTTTTAGGTTCAAGGGGTGGTAGTCAGAGACGACTGGAAAATTGTGTCTGCTTTAGCAGTAAAGCTTCCAGACTGCTTATGCATGGAAAAAAACTGTCCACTTGGTGAAAATTCAGCATTATTTACTCTCCTCAATAATCTTTTTGTAAATAAGGGGAAAAATTAAAAAAAGAGGGAAGTACCAGTGCAATAGTTGCTGTGGAGACAACCATGTGTATTTCGCACTAATGACTTAATGACTAAGCAAAAAAAAAAAAAAAAAGGGAAAGCTTGGTCAAATTCTCTAACCACATTTGCAGCCTGCTTGGTATTGTCATCTTTCCTGGTGTTTTCTTCAGTCACATGAGGTGAAACTAATATTTGTAGTGCCGCCTGGTGATTAAGTAATACTGTTTTTTAGTTAGTGTTTGAGAAAAGACCATACTGTGTGGAGTTTTGGGTTTTAATTAAAGGTTTTGTATTTCAGTTGTATGCATGAAACAATGGAAAATCTGAGACCTCAGAAAACTGGATTCTCTAGTTTGTTATGTTAGTTTGGCTTACAATAAAAGACTACGTTGTGAGATAGCATCCCTTTGGACGCAGAGATGCGTGCACGGGCTTCTGTGCTGTGACAGCGTTAGTGAGGGCATATCGCATCACTGCAGCTGTCTCTTGGCCTTTTCAGCTTGGCAAAAGATAAACCTGGAGCTGAACACTGTGTCTAAGGTAGAGGAGGGAGGTGTGACTGGGATATGCTTTGACTTTATCACCTACAGTACCAAGCCACATTCTGATTTACCTTTATTCTTTGGATTTCTAAGATCTTGCTGTTTCAGTTAAACACTATGGCTTTAGCTTTTTTTGTGGAGTCTGGATAAAAGCGTAACTCGTGCAGCATTGTTGCTAGAAACTTGCCCAGGAGGTTTTTTTCATAAAGCTGTAGTGTAAAGCCATTACAAAAACATGAATAGCTAAAGTCTTGCCATCAGGGAGACTACCTTTAAAGCTTTAAGCTTGCCATCAGGGAGCTTTCCATCTGTAACAGGAGTGACATGTCTTCCCCCATTCACCCTTCTGTATATTAGTTGATTTTGAGCTAATGGTTCCAATATGTGCTGCTTAAAATTGCACCCCATTGCCTGGCCAGGAGAGACACCCTTTGGTGCTTGTACACACCCTGCTGATTGCTTAGACCTAACCTTAGAAGATCAGTTTCTTAGGCAACAAGGTTATCAGAATAAAGCAGGTCTTTATTTTAAATGCATCTTCAGCTGAAGAGCTCTCTAATGGGTTTTTACTTCCTCTTCTCAATGTGTATCCTGTTCCAGAATGAATCAACCAGTTTCACTGACCAAATCCTTTTTTGGAATGGATTAACGTGCCCGGCCTGCTAGTCTGAAATTTCTGTAGGTTGTCTTTCCAGATCTCCTACTTGCCAATTCATTTTCATTCCATCAGATAATATGCATCAGTTTTATCAAATAATGTAAATAAGTTGAGCAAATGTTCGTCTAACCAAAGACATTTTTTGGTTAGATTTCTTCCATGGATTTTTTTTTTTTCACTCTTAGTGGTATGTTCCAATAAAAAGTGAAGCTCCTTACATTCTCCATTTCTTCAGTCCTTTCCCTGGGAAAAAATACACAGCCTGTATATGTTTGTGTGTGTGTTTTGAAGCCTTTGGATGTATATGTTAGAGCGGCCTTGTTAAATTTATGGGGATGGAGTCAGTATTCAAAAATCTTGTATTCAGTTTGCATCCTGAACTTGTGTATTGGTCCTTCAAGGTTTTTATTGAGAAGCAAACCTGCATTTTAAATAGTGAGTTAAACTGAAATCAATTCAGCAATGGAGTGTTTTGGCAGCTCCAGCTCCCTTTAAAGTAATGCTTGTGACACAGATATTATTTAGTGAGATGGGTCCATTGATAAGAGAACCTTTTTCCCTAAACTTCTGTAATCCACTGTGTGTAGAATGTGACACTCTAATTAAGCTCTCTTTAGACAGATTGAGAGTTATTGCATTGCTAAATGTTTAATTGTCTTGGGGACAGGTCTGGTTCAGGCAACTCTTGCCTGCTCCAGATTGCTTCTTCCTAATTCTGAATTGATTCCTTGGTAGCAGTGCGACTGCGTGAGGCCACTTGGTCACTGCACCTGAAGATGAAGTGCATCAGGCAGTGAATTTGGCTGAAGTAACCGGTGTGCCTGCAAGGAGACTTAATTTTAGGGTGTCTGTTTTTCCAGAGGTTCATTAGACAAGAGTCGTGCAGCCTCTAACTCCCTCCCACCCCTGGCTAAGGATTAGCCAAGGAGTGAGCTGAGCAGTCGATCAGCCAGCGTTGCTCCTACGTACAAATGGAACCATCTCTTTAAAAATGGAAAGGAGTGGTTAGGTCATGCTGTTCACCATCTGCAAATACACAGCTGGTCTATGCAGTGTGTTCTACATTGCTTCATGAGATTTTAAACAAAGCTTCTGCAGTTTTCTTTTAACAGACAGCCCAATTAATCTCTTACAAATGTTTTCCCATTGCTTTTAATCCCATCACTATGCGTACTCCAGCTGTGATGCCAGTGCTGAATGCTGAAATTTAGCTTACGATTTCTGAATTATATCATCACTTTTGGTCTAGAGTGTTAGGTGACTTATGTGCTCTTGAAATTAGGTTTCAGTATTGGGCTGTGGAGATTTGTCATCCTCTTGAAAATTTTAGGATGCTCTGCTAAGGCAGACATGATGCACTACTAAACAAAAAATCACCATGCTGAATGCTTAATAAGAGTATAAATTTTCAGTGGTAGCTTCAGGGTATGGGCTTATTGGTCTCCTGGTTTTATTAAAAAAAAAAAAAGGAAAGCAATAATAAAAAAATATTAAGTGTCACCTTAATTTGCTGATTAAACAAGACCATTTGGCTAGGAGGGAACCTCTGATTGCTTCCATATGTTTAATCCTCGAGCTTGGATAAGACCCTACACTTAGTTCATATCAAGAATATGCTAAGTTGTCTGTTTTGGACAAAGTAACTTTTGTTATAGCTGGAATGGTCCATACTAATTTTGTTTTATGATCTCCCCATTATTATCTTAGTTCATAAGAAAAATATGCCTTAAGCCAAACACAAAAGCAAAACCCATTTCAGTTGCATGTTTTTATGGTTGGTTGTGAGTGATTGCCATTAAATTAGGTTTTGGTTTTATAACTTTAAAGGCACTAAGAGACTTCATCTCAAATCCCATGATTAAACTGCTAATTTTATGTGATTGTCCACCAGTTGTCTCTGTGGAAAATCTGGGGGAGAAGTAGTCTTCCCTTTAGTAAGACACCGTAGCAATTTGTCAATCCATTTATTTTCTGTACCAGCTTTTCGTGGCAACTTTCTTGGCTTCTGGTGAAACAACTAAAGAAGAAATCTTAAAGAGTATTAAGGAATGTTATGTTGTTCCTTGTTCAGCATTTTTGAAAATGTAATAGTACCTAACTTCTTTTTTTTTTTTTTTTTCTTTCCAGTATTGTTCCACTTTTAAAAGAATCCATTGGAATTTTGATGCAGCGAACTCCTCCTTCACTGGAAAATGCCCTGCCTCAGTGCTACCAGAGGGTGAGCTCTTAGACCATTTTTGCTTCAGATCCAGCTGCTGATGAATGAGCCTCAGCTGTGTGTATGAGGATATTTTATGATGTTTTTCCAGTAATGCCTGTGAAAGGTTCCTTAAACTGTACAAATGGAGGTACTAGTTTGATTCTTATCTTTCTGACGTCCTAAGTTGTATGTAGTACTTTGTGCTGGTACAAAGTGCATGATGTTTTTCTGTTTTGTTCAGTTTTTGTCTCCCTCAAAATTTAGTTCTGTCTTTAGTAAAATGAAGTGGAGTAACACTGGAAGTGCATTTATAAGAAAGACTACATAGATTACTGTGGATTTGATCTCTCCTGGTACTCTCGTTTAACTTACTGTATCATGACCTGAACATTTGAAGTGCGGTTGCAAAGTTAATGGAAAGCACTTGTAGTAGTGCCATCTTTCCCCAGGAAGTTACAGGATTGTAACCGTCACATGGAGGGTTTGCTAAAATTGAAGAGAGGAAAAAGAAAGGTTTTGAGAGGACAAACCTAAGCCCTCACAAAATATTCACAGAAATATTAATATATTTCTGTTAATAGTTAGACTTTCTCACAATTTTTTTTATGGGAAAATTCCTGCATTTGCAAAAATTGCTGTTTGAATGCTCTCTCAAATTTAATAACTGACTTTTCTGTCTTGGATGCCACTGTTTTCAGAAACAGTTTCAATCAAATATATGGAGACTGTAAATGCAGCAAGGTCATCATGACACATACCTACAACCTGTATGTTTTCACCTTCCTTACCATTACTGAGATAGTAATAAGAAATTTAAATGTATCGTAAATTGCACAGTGAACTAGAAGTAAAAGAATGCATCAGCTTTTATAATATTTTCTGTAAAAAAAACATAGTGCAGATAAACATTTTCTGAACTGTATTTTTTTTTAATTTATTTGTATCTTTAGGTGCAGCAGTTGCAAGGAGTTTACAGTTTACATGATCCACACTTTTGGACCCTCTGTACTGATGTTTACATAGGGACATTGAAATTATTAGTAGCTCCTGATGCTGATGGGAGGTGGATTCTAAGCCAGACTCACAATATTTTTACTCAGGTATGTCTCATCAGTGGAAATCGCATTCCGAAGTATAAACTGCCTGTCGTGTGATGTGACATAGTAATTATTATCAAGAAAAATTAAATGTTGCTGGGTCTGATATCAGTGTGTTTTGAAAAGCTGCTCTGCTCCAGCAGTTCAGAAAAATTTCAAAATGCTCAGTAGTGTAGATGGAATTGCTGTAGCTCTCTGCATCAGTGTTTCCACTTAGTGGAAATAGCAGCTGTAGTTGTCTGAGGTGTACCAAACCAAGTTGAAACCCTATATTGACCTATGAGGAACTGAGGAAGTGGGTGAGGCTTCCCTCAAAATAGGGCTTCTGACCACAGACTGGACCTGTGTGATTTTTTCACTCTACTGATGCTGTATTTGTCATTCATTTCTGTACCTCCAAGAACCCATGCATATTTTGCATATTTTGTTGTGTTTTACTAATACCCAAGCTGTGGTGATCACTAGTTAAAGCGTAACCATCAGTTGTCATGTTGTGTATGACCAGCATGTTCCCATTTATTTCAGGTTATATTTCAGGTAATATTACAGGTTATAGTTTTTATATAGATAGGTATTTGATAACACTTATAGGTGATATGAAACACTGGAATCCTTGTGAACAACAGAAACTGTATTAGAAGTTGATAGTTCTTGCCTTAAGATTAAAATCTTACAAATTTCAGAAAGATTTTTCTGTTGCTTCCTTATACTTTCAATCATTAAACATGAAATTCACTTTGGCTGTCAATTCCAGTATAGCTTCTGGATATGAATGGTTTACAAGTAGAATCTAGAGTCTGTCAAGATAAAATAGAAAATTCTTGTCCAGCAAGAGAACTTTGTGAAGATTAAAGCTGCAAACTTACTCTCTTAAAACACCCAGAGCCAAATACCCCGATTTTATTCTTGATGTGGGAGGACTGTCTTTGAAAAAACTCTTCCATTTTTCCATAATGTCCTTTCTCTGCTTTTGAGTAACGCAGAGTTCTGTAGCTGAAAAGAAGACAAATAGTCCTGTTTATAACCGGTGCTTTAGATAACAAAATATTGTCAGCTAATGGGTAATATTTTGGAGATATGTAAATTACTAACTTCTAAGTTAGTTGGACAATGAAGAAAGGGGGCTTCTGATCAGGTATATTCGACACTGAAAATAAAATCACTTCTGTCAACAGTTTAATTAGTGCTTGCGTAAATGTTCTTTTCAAAGCTTTCTACAGTGGGGTAAGTCCTTGTGCACTCACACGCGTGTGTTCTTTCCCTTATTCTGTGTGCTCTGTTGGCCTCCTGCATTGGCAGCTTGTGTCTGTCATGGCTTAGTGAATTGTTCGTGCATCTGAGAAGCACCCCTGTTATTAACTGTTTTATAACATTTATTAGAAATTCCAGACTGGATATTTTGTTTGGTGGTTTTTGTTTTGTTTTTTTTGTTGTTTTGTTCTGTTTTTTTATGTATCTCATGTACTCAGTTTCTGGTCTCAGGAGAAAAAGCACTAAAGCCAACCCAACAATGCGCTGCCTGAGAGCATGAATTCTTCTGAAATCATTGAAGTTTCAGGAATTTTAAAGTAGTTGGTCACGGGGAACCTAATCAAAATAAACACATGCTCTTGTGCTTAGCTCCGTTTTAAACTGACAGCTTTTCAAGCAGCTTGTTTTTCAGGAGGTTAAACTTGTACAAAGAAAGAATTGCTTTTGTGCAGCTTCATGTGTGACAGTTATTTAGGCTGAATCAGAAAAGGTAATGTAGCAAAGCAAACGTTAGTGTATAATTGCATATGTGCACTTGACTGGGTGAAGAGCCCTGTATTCATACAGTGCTGTCAAAGTTTGTAGGTTTTCAAATTGCCAGTATCTTTGTGAATAGTGTGCTGCATGTGGAAGATGAATTACAGAAAAATAAGATGTGGATTTTTTTTTGCTCAGTGACTTACTGATGGGGACTGGTGCTCAGGACGGTTAAACTGCTTTGATGCTACAAGTGGTTTTTAACTCTTCTTTTTTCCATAGGCAGGAGTAAGACAGCTTTACATACAGATTGATGTCGCAGCCATGTAGTGAACTTCTGAAATTGTGCTGTTGGACCAAAGTTTTCTGTACTGTAATGGTGTAACAACGTACTTCTCAAGACAGAGCCTGCTTCCACCACTGTTCTGGGATTGACTGAATATGTTTCTGCCCTTGGGCTATGGATGGAGTTCACTTCTAAGGAGTAAATATTGAATGAATGTTATGGACTTCGGGTCTTGTCTTTTTGTGGCCCCTAAACTTGTAAGTTTTTGAGGGTTTTTTACTTACTAAGATTGTGGTACTGGAAACCCTATCATGTCTTCAGTAAAGCTGCTGAAACCACTGCTCATTCCCATAAAACCAGTGTTATCAACAATTGGAAACTTGTTTTGTAGATAATGTCACAATGGCTGACAGGCTTCGATATACTTGTATGTTTCTACAGTTGTTTGTACTTTGCAAACTTAATGAACCAAACCATATTGGGTTTTCAAAGTGCCTTTTATATCAGGAGAGGTATTTGCCAGCATAAATTTGGAGCATCAAAGGGTTTTATTACTTTTACAAATATCTTGTATGCAGTCTGATTAATTACTAGTGATGTATGTGGGGGGTTTGTGTACTTGCGTAGCTGTAGATGTTAGACTTCCCTTGTACTTGCATCTTACCAAACAGAGAGAAAAATTCTAAATGTAAAAAGCAAGGGTATTGTGAAGAGACTTCCTTCCAAAGCAAGCTGGATGTTTTATTGCATATTTCTTGTGGAAATTATTTTAGTCAAAATAATAGATTTAGCTCCAATTCTTCGTCTCTTCATACTGTTGAGAGTGATGAGATGTTACATGATTCTACTCATCTTCACAGTCATGTGAGACAACAGGCAGCTGAGGGAAGATGCTGGTGATGGAAGCAACGTTTGACGTTTTTTATCTTCCAAATTATGTGTTGGCAAAAATTAAATCCCTAAATTGTTTGTGAAAGCTCACATCTCCTCAATTTTAATAGCTTGTAATAATTTTTATTAAAGTGATTGGTGAGGTAACTTTTGCCTTTCCAAATACTGAAGATAGTTGTTCTGAGTGGTTACACCTGAAATGGAAATAAGGACCATTGTTCATGCTATTTAAAATTATTTTTTTTCCTGGTTGACAAGTCCAACATTTTTGACTCTCTTACTGTAGTTTTATGTGTTTTCATGGGGGGAAAAAAAAAATTCTCAGTGTAGTAAGTTGGGTTTTTTTACAGAAACATTGATCTGTCATATTTTTCTAGCATTTATAATCATTTTACGCTTTCAGATCTGAACATTTTTTTCAAAGACAATCTGCTGTCCTTGGTGTTATAGATGATAATTCCACTGTGCTTGTAGTAGTTAACTTAGTAATGGAAGATTTTATAAAGGGACATTTTACAAACACAACATTGTGGAGTAAAAAACAAGACAGACATTTTTCTGATAAATCATAGCTGTTAGTAACTGGTATGGATTTAAAGTATTCTGGTACGTGGTAATACTAAAACCAAGGCCCTCTGAAGCTGACAATGTCTGCGTAGTAAGTGCTAGGCACTCTGAACCTACCGAAGATTTATTTGCAGAAGTGGTTTGCTTGCCTCTGCTGAATTCATGACAGAGATGACGAGTTTCTTGCGTTCATACTTCATGTTGTTCCTATGTAGCACCCGAATTTTGATCTCGTTTGATGTGAAAGCACGACGGTTGCCAAATTGATAGGTGATTCCTGATTTTTCCAGCTGAGATATTAAAACCTGAATGTTGATTTTATACAAAGCTTGGCATTGTACTCTTGTGCTTGGAACTGAAAACTGAGTGCAAAGAAAAACAGCAGTAAAAAGCCACGTACATATTGCTTTTAAGCTTTACAGACTGTTCCAGCCTTCAGCTCCTCCTTTCTCTCTGTGGCTGGTTCCTGCGGGCGTTGGGTTCTCCCGGGCTGTGGGTGCAGAGTGCCCTCTCAGCTGGCTGCCCCCTTCCACAGCTCTCTCTCCTGGCTTCCCATTGGGCTCTCTCCCTGTCTCACCTCACCGGTGCTCCGCTGCCCCGAGGTGCGGGCTGGGGGACAGGATCTGAGAGTTACAGGGCACAGGGTAGGGTGCAAGAACCTCTTGAGCAGATCTGAGTACCATTGGCATGTGTTTGTAGAAAAGGTAATTAAAATATGGTTGATTATAGGGTGGGGATGCCTCGGTTTTTTTGTAGTATGTTACATATTGATTGCTTCTTGTTGGTTGACAGCATGATTTCTTGATTTATTTTTTTTTATAGTTAATATTACTATATTTGAAGCTAGAGAAGATCAGCTGATATCCCTTTGAAAGCAGGCACTGGCCAACTTCATTGCAATTTTGTCACGATCCAAGAGCAGGCTTTGGTTTATATCACTTTTATACTACCATGTTTCAGGACTGAGTATTCCTGGACTTGCTGAAGTACCGTGGTGCTGCCCAAGTTGCTGGACTTGGCCACTATTTTAGTTTTCTTAATGAAAATACAAGTGCTACAGTTTGTTTCCAAGTCAGAATCTGCCTGAGTGACAATTGGGTTGGTTTGTTGTTTTGTTGTTTTTTGGTGTTTTGTTTTTTTTTTAAGATGTACATCTACCAACTTTTAATATGTGGTAAATAGAGTGAAAAAGCCTATAAGCTGGTTATAATTACAAAATATTGGTTTTAATAATTTTTTACATCTTTTTGTTGCTTATGAGTACTCAGCTGACTGTTGGAAGGATACGTACAAGTCTGAGTTTCCTAACCAAGATGGCAACTTCTTCATTATTTTTAAGGACAACTTGACAGTTTTACAGTAAGAAATGTATCATTTGTTTGTTAAATACACAATTGAGGATAGTGTAGGGAAGTCAGATTCAAAGCAGGCTTTAAGCCTTTTTAGGCTGTCTGAAAAAGGGTAAGCGTCACACAATTCTATGAAAGACAGTAGGTGAGGTATCCAGTAGGTAACTACAGTCACATCTAGTACCTCAGTAAACAGCATGACATCTGATTTAGTTTTTTTCACCTACTAAGGGGATATTTGCTCAGGTTTTAGGAGAGTATAAATCATGCAATTGGAAGTGTAGCTTTTCTTAATCCTGAGAGTCAAAGCTTCATTATTTTGTGTTTTGCTAATTAGCTAACACTTTGCTTATTATGTAACAGTTTGCTTTTAAGACTTTATTGGAGATGCATCACATCATTTAAACAAAGATTTGTGTGAATGACATCCAGAGCTTGGATGAATGTCTGCAGAACATCTGCTGAAACTCAGCTTCCTGGACTCCAGTACTGAATTTTGAACCAAGTTTTCAAAGTCTGATTTTTCTCATGTTTTCGTGTAGCTGAAGCTTACTGTGGGGTGACTGGTCTGTCTTACTGTGGTTTATTTTTCTGTCACTAAAACCAGTAACTTACAACCATATTGTCCCAATGACCGAGCCTGCAAACTGCATGATTTTGACAGGACCTACAGCAAAATCAGAAGATAAAAACAAGTGCTACAGAGTGTCTGTACTAAAACGCCCCAAATGTTTGTCATGGTAAATAACAGTGGAAGTAGTTTTCCTACTCTTAAGAGTATGCACAGTGAAGACCAGTCCTTCGTAAACTAATCCTATAATTCTGTATATACTTACAGGTTAGCCTTGTTCCTTACATTGACAGGGCCCCTACAGAGAGCTGGATTACTTGTGCAATTTGCTGAACTAAGGCAAAAAGTGCTGGTCCAAATAAATGACTCTGCTTTTTATGTAATTCTGCTTACTAAAACAAAAGTTTAATTGCATCATTAGTAAGAGCTGCTGACACTATTTTTACATAAAAATTGAAACTGCTGCTCCTAATTAAGAGGACCTTAAGTGACTCTCAGAGTTCCCAATTTCTTTTTACCTGAAGAAGTAAAGCCGTGTTTAAAGGTGAAGGAAAGAAAGGGGATCTCCTCTTAACTGTTGTGAGTGAACCTCTTTTGGGAATATAAACAAGATGCAAGAGGGGGAGAGAAGCTGCTGCTGAACTGCAGTTTTCCACCCTTTGCACGCACCGTGCAATCCAAATGTGAAGTTCATGGCTTTTCTCTCTCAGCACAGATTTCAGTTGCAGAAACCTTCGTGCTTCTATAAAATGCAAATCCTAATCAGTGCTCGTGTAACAAGATCTTTAAATACCAGTTCAGAGCAACAGCTTTAGTTGCTGATTAAGCCCTGTCCCGTTTTCCCCAGCAGCCATCAGACTGCCACTACTGTGATTCTCCATTATCCCACCCCCTTTAAGCATGTTTGGGAATGAGTATAAGGGATTTTCTTTTCTTTTTTTTTTTTTCTTTTCTTTATAATCCACGTCTCTGATCCCTAATACTGACTCAATGGTTAATTCCTTCTTTACACTTCTGTGAAAATCCCTGTCTGCAACCCGCCGGGATTCCCTGTTGGATTTTTCCCCCGTTCAGGCTTTGTTGGGGTGTCCATCCCTGTTGGGACTTCGTTGGCCAGAGACTGCTCTAATGTGAAAAGCTGCCAGTTGGGCTTCTGCTGCCCCTGGTGTGTGAGGGCTCCATGGCTCGCTGGGGGCAAATACCGCTGCGTCTCCTCTCTCTCAGTGAGCCACAAAAGGTTCCTGCCTGTGTGGTAATTTGGTGGAAATAATGTGTAAAAGGAGTTGTGTATTTCACTTCCCACGTGCATTGAGGTCTTTCGTGTGTATGCTGGGATCTTGTACAAGAGTTAAATGAATCACTACGGTATTTTGGCTCAAGTGTGAAATATTGTGAATGAAGAAATTGCCAAAATCATTTCTGGCAGCATACAGCATATTGCTTGCATTCAGCATATTGCTTGCCTTTACCTTTCAATTACAGGAATTGCTCTTAGCAGTGAGCTTAAGTTGAATAGTACAATATATCAAAATACCCATAAAGAAATGTTAATGATAACACAAGGCAGCTCACTAAAATTCTGAAGACTATGTATGATTTTGTTCTGGAATGCTAATGTTAGTAGCTTAGCCATGACTTGTCCCAAGTGCAATATTAGAAATTTTTAATGTAATCTTTTCTACTTGAATACAGTCTATATAAAATGTTAAATGTCCTATATTGCTGAAAAGATATGGGATCAAATTTCTTTCCAATAAATCTTCAGTTCAAAAAAAAAATACACATAAGAGTTCTGCTTTGTTGTCATGCATACTGTGAAGACTACTTGAAATAGCAACTGTCATCACCCATTACCTGATTTTTAAAGAGAATTCTTGCAGGCTGTTTTCTGAGAATTGGCTTAATTGAGATTAATCTTCTTACACAAGAAAATGAAATAAATTGTGTGCAGCTTCTCCCTCTGTTTCACCAACTGTCTAGAGGGTGAGTTCTTGTTTGTCTTGGTTTAGACATAAAGAACACTCTCACCTCTCTGCATTCACTCTCCCAAGTGTAGGGATGGATACAAATCTAACAGGTTTTGCACACTAATGCTTTCTGTTGGTGAGAGAACTACGAAGTTTCTGGAAAGTTGAAAAGCAAAATTTAACATTTAAAATGCACTTATAACAAGGTATGCAGTAGGCTTTTTTTTTATGTCCTACAGCAAAAGTGATGCCAGACAGACACCTGGCACACTTCTTGCCTTCTCTGCTTGCTCTTAACCTAGTCATCAACGTAAGACGGATGTAGATGTCAATGAACTGAATGAGACAAAGTGTTTTTAAGGTTTCAAGGTTTCTGGAGGTGTCTACATGTGAGAAGCTGACAGGGACAGGTGCAGCTTGCACTTTTGTCCTGGTTTGAGGTAAAACAGAACCAACTTTCTGTTCAGTAATTTTACTTCTTAGCTAGGCCTCTCCTAACTCTCTGAAATTAACAGCATATCGTGCAGAAAACTGTTCGCTTTTAGAGTGATAAGATGTGATGTTTATACCTCATGCCAAGGAATGGTATGCGGAGAGGCTCTTGCTTACACTGACTGCTGTGGCAACTGCGGTCAGCTAAGTTCATTATTTGCCCTTTTGGAGGGTCAGAAATGGAAAAGCTTAGAAGGGTCCCACCTGCAAGGAGGAGGGGACAGGACAGGTGACCCAAAACTGACCAACGGGATATTCCATCCCATCTGCCCCATGCTCAGGTCCATGTTCCTACAGTGCTGTCTTTTGAGGCAATATACAACCTAACTGTACTTAGGCAAGCTCTAAATATTCACAGGAATAACTTTATACTGTCATGAAATTAAAGATGGAATAAAAATATTAAATGCCTCATTTTTATTTAAGTGGTGTTTTGAAATGCATTATTTTCACAACTGGAACTATCTACAGAGAAAAGCTTAAGCATTTCTAATTCCAGAGGGTGCATAGTTCCTGTAACAATCAAGGAATGTAGTGGGCCACCTAATTCCACTGTGGACATCTGACACAGTGTGCCTGAAGCAATCTTCTGATCTGGAGCACCCACACGTGCGAGGCCAACACAAACTGTGTTTTCAGTAATTTCTGTAAGAAAGAAGATTAAATGCTTAATTTATTAACTGAAGGAAAAAGTACTCAAAATGCTTAAGCTTCACACTGTTTTCTTAAACCTCCAATTAATAAATCATTGGAATGGCCTAGAAAGAAGCTTGTTCTTCAAAGAAAATGAAGCTGTATCTTGGGGAAGTTCATAAGTAAGAATAGGGAAGGCAGCAGAAGTCGAACATGAAATTCATTCAGGAATTGTGTTCACTTTGAGGAAACTGCTGCTTCTGATTCATTCTATATAAAGGATAAAATGATTTTCATTTTAACCATATCTAAGGAATAAACTTTTAAAATGAGGAATATAACTAAATGAATTTCTGTTAGCATTTTTCTGTGACACATCTTTATAGCTGCTGTGATTTCACTTTTGATCTTGATAAACATCTTTCACAGTTTGCTCTTGTCTGGTGTTAAGAATTCTAGGTCAAAGTCAGAGTCCTGCATTGTTGGGTTAACCTACATTCATGCTGGTATTCACGAAGAGCAGAGTGTGACCAGCCTAAATAAAATGTAGTAGCAGAAATTTTTGAAGCTTGACTGATCTAAAGTGCTCAGAATCCTCCTGCAACTCCAGTGGATCAAAGAGCACACAATTAAAGATGGACAGAAATAGTACAGGGTTATCAAACTGAGGCTTTGACTAAACCTCCAAGAGCCACTACTGCTCACTCATGTGTGCTCACGGGACTACACTGTGTTCAAGCTCTGCCAAATCCATCTCGTGACTAGGATTTAAGGCAGCCCCATTCCACTACAGCGCAAGGGAATGCTCAGATTCAGGGGAAGGGAGTAGAGTTCAGGGGCTCATCAGTAAGTGTGACTTAAGAAGGGCCTTGCAGTAACAGTACCTGGTTCTTCTCCTTGGAGCCTCCTGTTTTGAATAATGGCAAGAAGCTGTTCTGCAGCTTGATTCACACTCATGTAGCGTGGTGGCTCATAAATCTTTCTTCCTCTGCAGGGAAAGAAAAGGAGAGGAATTTAACATGAACCCATTTCGTTATTCCTTGCGCTCTTACAGTTTATTTCAAGAAACCCCTAGACGAGCAAATTGAACTTAACCAGGCCTGAGAGCCTGGGCCTTTTAGACAAGAGTGGAATTTTTACAGAAGACAGAAGTCTTTTGTGCTCTCACCACACCTGTGAAACAGCGGGGCCTCCAGCTGGCAGATCATTTGAGTCCTAAGAGCAAATTCAGCTGCTGGAAGCAATATACAGGTTTTGCAACTACTCCTGAAAGATGCATGAGACTTAAATTCAAGGGCAAACTACTGTTTTTCTGTCAAATGCCCTGTAGACAGATGATTACAGACTAGAAATATATTCTTAAATGAAATGCTGCTTTCATTGCCAACTGTGGATTCAGTCAAAGAGATTTTATTTTGAAACTCCAGAATAAACAAACCTCAATGATACTGTGAGACTTCACAAATGTTAATTTAGACCAGAGTTACAGCATGTGTATAAAGTAACCATTTATATTCACCACTGTCAAAATATACAGATTGCAAAGAGAAGATTAAGATGCGGCAAGATCTTTTGTGAATACAGTTAAATGAACTTTAAAGCATTTTCTATATATTGCTTATTTAGCTGTTTAAAATGGCTGGTATGTATGCAGTACTTCACGCTGTTTCTAGGAAGAATGAATTCAGAACAGTGTTTCACTTATTCATCCATTTCAGGATGGGACAGAACACTAGGAAAATAACACTCCTTTGCAGAAAGCTTACCCCATTTTGACTTAATGCTTCTCACAGAAACAGTTCAAAAAGAGATTATACTTTGCTGCAACTTCTTTCAGTTACTGTAAATAAAGCCAAGACCTACTGTAATGAACAAAAAAGTTCCACTCCTTGTGAGAAACAAAAGACCGTGGCCACTGAGAAGTACAAGAGGAGAAGGCAGGTAAGTTCAGTATTAGACTATGGGAAAAGAACCTTTGTTCCTTGTACCAAAATCCTTTGTAAATACATTGTGTGTTTCTATGTATTTTCAAAATGGTGACTCACTTCATTAGATTCTCCAGAGACTGCTCCTTCACTTTAATATCTGTAGAACAAAACAGATATTACAACGCAGATTCCCTACAAACCTCCCGATTAGTTTTCTATGTAGGTAAAGCTTAATTTAATTAGCAGATTCTATAAACTTTATAACAACATTTTAGCTATTCAAGACAAAAGGAATATGGATTACAGTCTGCTGTTTCATGCGCTACTTAATCACAGAGTATTGTGATTTTATGGGTGATTTTACCCAAAGTTAGGGCAAGTTTCACAGATTTCAGAGCAATGTACATGAATAAAAAAACTGCCACGTATACAAATAACAGGCATATTTACCAAATGCCAGCATGTTGAAACACACCAGGGAACTGGGACTGCTCTAAAGTTACGAGTACATCATGGTCACTAAAGGTAGACCAGTGTGACTGATGGACAGTGATTGCATCACCGCCATGCAGGAACCTGACTTTCGTTAGCACTTCCTGCCTGTCCCAATCAAAATTTAGAACAATCTTCTGTTATGGGAAAAAAAACCCCAAAAAACCAATTTGGGCAAAAATAAAAAAGAGAAGGGGTCAGGTAAGACTCTGCACATCTGCAATTTTATGAAACTCCAATTGACCACAATCTCTCCAAGAGGCAATCAAACATTATCTGTATTCAAATACCCCCAAAATATTTTCATAGTGAAAGCTGGATATATTTTTAATCTTGGTTTAAAAAAAAAAAGTATTAAGCTACACGATCAACTCCTAAACTAAAGTGACTGCAAAGAAAGGGGTTAAAAATGCAAAGCTGCAAGATTATTTGTGCACAGTTCATCAAATTGCTTATGTGTCTGTGAAGTCACTTTGAACTCAGAAGCTTATCAGCACTAACCCTTTTCTGTCCCATTTGCTTATCTGGTAATCTTGTCTAGCTGGAGAAACTATCAATACATAGACCAGAACGACCAAGTAGTATTAAAGGAACAATTAACTTGGAAATTGGTAGTTTTCAGCTGTCAGCTACAATTAGATGCAGATACCCCAACTGTCTCTGAAACATGAGATTTATAATTCAATTTTACAGTTTCCAAATTTTCACTCTCACGACTGTGTAAAAAAAATTTAAAAGGGAGATCATAGAAATTCTACAGAATATCTAACAAATACTTTGTTTTAGCATATAGCTGTAATAATCTTTGTTTAAAACATGTAAAGTCATCCTCCTTTAAAAAATAAATTACCAAAATTCTGATTTTTAGCCAATTCTGAAAACAAACAACTTTCAAAGCATTGGAAAGTTTGATGTGCAGTGATGCCTACACATTTAAATTGTTTCCTGCTCAGGATTCCTCCAGTTACCACAGACTTTGTTTTTACTTAAAATATTGATTTATTTAGCAGTGACCAATCACATCTGTGTCTAAAAGATGATACAGAAAGATATATAACTATATATACAGATATGCAAGTGTCTTATAGTCTATGTGCAAGCAGTACCATAACCTTTAAGGAGTTACCTAGCCCAGCAGAGTTACTCAGCACGTGGCTTTCAGCTGAGGATTGCAGGGAAGGGTAAAGAGCAGAGAGCTCCATGGGAGAGCATGGGGACAGCGCTCAGGTAGGAGCAGGATTCTGTTTCAACTCCATGATAAACAAG